CTGCCCAGGCCATATCTCCACCACCAGGGCAGCTATTGATGCGAGCTAAAATGCGCATGGTAGCCCTGATTATAGGCTATAATAAGGTCCTTTGTATCCAGATAAGAGGTCAGGTGGTTGGGTGTCCATGGCCCTTGCACCAGGAGGCACTAGCCAGAGCATCATTTTTTCGAAGGTGCACAGCCACAATCACATCAGATTCGGGTAGCCCTCAATCAGGGCTATCAGAAAACACCAAGATATACCCTTGTATCCAGGCTCGTTGAGGAGATACAAGCTTGTATTCAACCTTGTATCCAGCCAATACCCTTGTATCCGCTTGTATTCATGCGATTGTGCGCCGTACAGGATAGCTACCACCCTGAAACCACCTGCATCGTGTAGCCATGCTTCTAGGCTACCAGAAAACCCCTGGATACAAGCCTGTTGTCCAGGTCGTTGTGGCGGTAGAGCCCTAACACTGACCTTGTATCCACCTTGTATCTGGCCACTGAGCTCAGTGGCCGGTTTTATAGAGATAGACTTAGGGTCAGGGTTGATTGGGTCTCCCCCCAAATGCTGACATAATCCAAGTCACATGATTTGGGTAACAAAGGTGACTGGTACTATGACTCACTTTCCCTGTCAGCCAACTATGGTCACATATATCTCAGGCCTGACTTCTTAATCCTTCTTGATACTCAAAAACTCGCCCATTAACTCATGCTACTTTCCAGGCTACTACTCTGCCATATATTCCTGCATTATGGTACTACTAATGGAAGTGAGTGGATTGCAAGAGAGCTAGGACAGCTACCAGCTTCAAACCACCACCACTGTGTAGCTATAAATGAGGGCTATCAGAGTGTGTCATAATATGTGCTCGCTTTCATGGTCGCAACAGAGATATGGCCTCACTTCTGTCCCGTTACACCATATTTGGGTAGAAGCGAGGACACAGTGGGCTATATGTTGGGGCTACTGACACGTGCTTATCCTCATTATGTAGCCATCAATAAGGGCTATAAGATGATGCCAAGAAATTCACTCGCTTCCATATTTTTGGTGGAGATATGGCCTCGCTTCCGTGTCCAGATCCTGATCACTTGTGATGGAAGCATGAGAATTGTGAGAGAACTAGTACAGCCACTGACACGAAACAACCGCCATTACGTAGCTATCAAGGAGGGCTATCAGAGTGTGTCATAATATGTACTCGCTTCCATGGTTGCAGTGGAGATATGGCCTCGCTTTCATCCCATTACACTCCCTTTCAGCGGAAGCGAGAACTTTGTGGGCTATATATTGATGCTACTGAGACGTACTTATCCTCACTATGTAGCCATCAAAGAGGGCTATAGGATGATGCAAAAAAAATCGCTCGCTTCCATAGTTTTGGTGGAGATATGGCCTCGCCTCCGTGCTCGCTTCCAATGGATGCGAGAGAATTGCGAGAGAACTAGCACAGCCACTGGCATGAAACCACCACCTATGTGTAGCTATTGATCAGGGCTATCAGATTGACCCAAAATATGTACTCGCTTCCATGGTTGCAGTGGAGATATGGCCTTGCTCCCGTGCTAGCAGACACAGGCTGACTCCTATATCTGGTGTGCAATAACATGCTGGTAGTAGTGCATTGTTAAAGCTATTATCAGATGAAATAAGGGTGATATGTACCCAAAAGGTACCCTCAGTAGTGGCCAGGGCACAGCCAAGGTGGCAGAGGGGGCATCACTTTGAAGTGGGTGCACAGCCACAATCGCACCAGATTTGAATAGCCCTGGTCGAGGGCTACCCAAATATACCAAAATATGTACTCGCGTCCATGGTTTTGAAGGAGATATGGCCTCGCTTCCATTCCGTTACACTCGCTTCCGACGGAAGCGAGGCGATTACAGGCCGAGAAGTGCAGCCACCAGCTCGTAACCACCACCATCGTGTAGCCAAGAAGCGGGGCAACCGGAAAACCTGCGAAAGCGAGAAAGTTTCCTTAATGGTTCCTGAGATATGGCCTCGCTTCCGTGCTCGCTTCCATTCGCTTCCGTCCTTCTGAGCTCAAAAGGGGGTTTTATAGAGATAGGGGTGAAGCTAAAGTTTAACCCTGTACCGTCAAACTTTAGCTTCACCCCCGCTCAAATGCGGTCCGCTTGCGATCCTATGCATGGACCTCAGCGGTATCAGGAGCGTGGTGCGAGAGCTGCAGAAAAGGATCGCTGAAAATGTCGCTCCAAACGCCGCCGGCGGGCCCAGTACTACTGTCCGTGACTGGTATCACCGGGCACAAGTATATACCAGTAAGTCATATCTATATCGTGTTAAAGGCTACACTGCTGACATTAAAATCATGTAGCTATAGAGTGTTTGGACTTCTCCTACCCTATACGCTAGCCTTACGTAGGATATGCCTATGGTGGGCTCACAGCGCATGCAGCCGGTTAGACATTCAACTGTCTAGTCATCGGGCCGGGGCCGCGGATATCCATGTATCATGAGTTTCAATCGCAATCAACGCTTTCTTGGTGCTTCCCACAACTTACAAGATGTGATGCTTACTTTGCGCTCATCTCACATGTCAAGCTGCCCTTCCTTGAAAGGGTTACCGTGAAGATCCTGCACATGTCGGGAGTCCCAATGGGTTCGGCACATTGATGCTGAGCCTGCGGCGTTGCGCGGTCCATGGCTCGTTCGCCAATTCGAGGTTGATGTGTTCACGGACCCGTTTCATTCACGACATTTGTATAAACCTGCCCCCTTCGCTTTGTCATCCCGTGCATGCGGAGTCGCAGCTCATCGTTACTCTGACGCTCCCAACACGTGGGATTGACGGGTTCAGTGTCTTCCTTTCGACGTGCGAGCTACACATGATCGCGTCGCGCGCCGTTCCGCGCCATGGTATTGTACATCCACGCACCGACTCCCGCCCTTGTCACCTCCTGTGTCGTTGTCGGGTTCCCTCTAGGCCGTCCTCTACATTTATTTATACTGAGGCCTTTACTCATGCAAATATTATGCAGTTTGCGTTTTCCCCATAGATTTTGGTGTGAGCCACTCGCCTTTGCCTTCCGCCTCTCACCTGCGACGCTCGCCCGAGACTCGACCTCGCGCCCGTGTAAGCTCGACGTCATCCTCCCCGTTGCACGACTCGACGCAGCCATCGCTCACTGTCAGTGTCGTCCAGAGCGTCTGCGCTCTCCAGGTGCAAGAAACCGAAATAGGTGCCCTTGTCTGCTTTCTTCGCCAAGCAAGCCGGACACAAAAAAAGCGCATTTGGGATGCCCAATTCATATCACATTTTGTGCTATAGTACTAGTACAACACATGGTGCGAGTCTCAAGCCGGGGCGACAAAACCTTCAGGCGGGAGAGGGGGGACAGGTCTCAGAGTGCCCTCCCAGCCAAACACCTCCTCAGCCCTCTAGGGGCGCCGACATCGCGCGACGCGGGGGCATCTGGGCCGTACTATGGACCGGACTCCGCGCGGACTCTCTTCGCGCTGCGAGTATGCGTCCGGGCACATTGAAGCTGCGCGTGCGTGCAGCGCAGGGTCCATTCGTCCTGGGGAATCCGGATAGAGGTGGCTGCGTGGCCGTGCCTTTGAGAAATTACGAGGGGAGGGGGCCCGAGATGGCTGTAAGCGCCGGGTCCGGAGCTCAAGCGCGTCGTAGGCGTCCAGGGACGCTATCTCTATAATACCTCACACTGAGCTCAGTGGCTGGATACAAAGTGAATACAAGCTCATTGTTAAGCTCATTACACCACATCTATTTGCACAACTGGCTTGAATATCTACATCTCCTGATAGCCCTATATCAGGACTACATGATTCAGATACTTCTGGGGTCATAGCTCGAGTCATCCATTAGTGATGGTCTTACTTCCATTGAATGTAAGGGATACACAGCTGAGGTAAATTGGATACAAGCACATTTTCCAGAGTCCCTAATGTGCAATTTCTTTCTTTCTTTCTTCATTACATTGGGACATATCTGTTCTAGCCTTGAATGCTTTATTCCAGACTTTCTTTACATGCGGTAAGGTAAGGCGGGGCAAACACAGGAACAACATTCTTGTACTGATCTTAAGTCTATAAGTGCCAGTAGCACTGCCACCTCAATAGGCCGGAAAACATGTTTATTTCGACATGTTCATACTTAGTAGGTAGTCTCGCATCCGGGCTACAATCTGCAACATATTTTGTGGTCACAGATGATATCTAGTACACAATGGCCTTGCAGGCAGCTCCACATCTAATCGCATATACCAATGCGCAAGCCAGTTCCCCGGTGGCCACTGCCCACCGTGACTGTCTAGCTTGAACTGACTGACGCACCGTCAGCATTGCAGCTTGCAATTCCTTCTATTGTGACACCGAAAGACCAGATAAGATGTAAACGAACGAAGAGATCGGCTTGCGATGTCGAAAGCAAAGCGACAGAGCGTATGGAGATGAGGTATTACATGTGTCATGACTCATTATGCTGATGGTGTTATGGGACCTCTCGGATGCGGATGCCCGGGCCATAGTATGCGACGTATGCGACGGACGATATGGTATATATATGCACGACATAGACGGAATAGAATGAGACATACGTGGGAACAGACAGGACGGCGGAGGGCGCCTCCGGGGAGCCTTCAGCTTTTGGGCAGCGAGATGGTCGGTGTGGAGGTGAGCGGCGACGCGCGCGGTTGTGTGCGCCGCTTGACCTGCGCCTCGAGCTTGTTGCGCTGCTTGCGAACGTCGTCGTCCTTGAGCTTGACGGAGAGCGCGAGCTCGATGAACGCCTCGGGGTTGAGGGGCAGCGCGGTAGGTGGAGGATGGCAGAGCGTGTTGAGTACGTCGTCGGGGGAGGTGGACTGGAGAACAAGACGGCGACAGCCGGCGAAGATAGCGAGGCCGACACGGAATAGGAATGTTACACCTGTCATACCTGTCAGCAAATGCTTCGCACACGCGTCGAATAACAGTAGACGTACCTTCGAACAGGAAGACGTCCCAAACGCGCAGCAAGTAGTCGGGCTGGAGCGTCGCCGCGAAGACGGCCATGAACCTGCCGGACGCAGTCAGCGGACGCACGCAAACGAGTTCGAACAACGTACCATGGACGACAAACAGCCGCAGGCGAGATCGCCATATCGCCGAAGACTTTCTTCGCAGACGCGGGGTCGTTCGCCTCGAGCGCTTTCGCGAAGAGCGACGCGTCGACCTCAAGTTGCACAGAGGTCGAGAAGTACGGGCGGAGGTGGCTGTCCATCAGGGAGATGAACGTCCAGAACGCGTCCTCCTCGGGCGACTGCAGAAGCAGCTGTCCGGCAATGAGGGCGAGTCCTACACGAAAGGTCAGCGACGAACACGCGAACGTTCATAGGAAACTCACCTTTGCTGTACTGGACGTCCGGAACCATGCACAGGTAAGCCTGTAGCATCTTCGCGAGCGATCCGTCCTGTAACTCCGGCCGGTCCATAAAGCTCTCGCGAATATCGCGCTCGATATCCGCGAACGCCGGCACCTTCTCGCGCTGCGCGAGCCGCTGATACAGCCCGTCCATCCGCTTCCCTTTACTATCCGCCAGCGCCGCCCACACCTGATACCGCACTGACGCGGGCACGCCCTCGAGCACGAGCTTGCGAATCTTCTTGCTCTTGCGCATCTGTGCAGCCGGGATCGCCGCCATGGCCGCGATCCAGCGCTGCTCGCGGTGCCGGTGCGCCGTCATCTCGCTGATCTCCTTGGGCGACTTTGTCTCGTTCGGAGTTAAGTCCATCGGGATCCGGAGGCTACTCGAGCCCGACGTCGTCGACATCGCGGGGCTGTCCGTGCGCAAGAAGCCGTCGCTCCTAATCGGACTTGGAATGGGGAGGGAGTCGACGCTGCCTGCGAATGGCGACATCGGCATATTGGGCTTGACGAGCTCGAAGTCCATGTCTTGCACTTGGACGGTCTCCTGGTCGACGGTGTGCTCGCTCGTGCTCGTGTAGGTGCTGAGCGTCGGACTGCGCGGGTCGTTGATAGACGAGTCCTTGCTCGTCACGAGCCGTAGCGGAGGCATGTACGGGCGGTTCTTCTTGTTGATCTTGAGCCCGAGCACCGATGAGGACTCGGAGATGCTCTCCGCAGGCGACGTGATCACCGGAGAAGTCGCGTCCGTGCGCAGCGTATCGATCGACGGGCGCGACAACGATGTCGTCCCAGAGCGCGGTGATGACATCTCCGATCTCGAGCTCGTAGTCGACAGCACCGCCGACCGACTATGCCTCAGCACCGGGGACGCCTTCGGGAACACCCCCGCACTCCTCGGCGACGCCGGCGGACTCGCGCCCCTCGCAAACGACTCCTGCAGCGCCTCCAACGGCGACTGCATCGGCTGTTCCCTCGCATACCCGTTCACATTCGCAGGCCCTCCTGCTGCTCCGGGACCGGAAGATCCGGCGGCCTGGTCGAGCGAAAGCGCGCGCGCAACCGGTGCGCCAGGGCCTGCGGCGCCGACCCGAGCGAGCGCGTCCGCTGCAGAGGGAGGATGCGACGTCGGGAGCGGGTTCGTGAGCGCACGAGGCGGGGGAGAACGTACGGGCTCGTGCATCGCGGCGGTGTTGTTCGCTGAGAGGGAGAGCGGCGATGGCGCATGCACGCCGCGAACGACGGACGACGCGTGCGAGACCGTCGCGCGCTGTGGTGACGCGACCTGCGCCGCCGCTGTCGTTGTGGTTGCCATCGCGGATTTGGACCGCTTCGTCGTGATTTGAAGAGGCTTGACGGACGCAAGCGGCGCGGCACCCTCCTCCCGACTGCAAATAACGTCAGTATTTGTCTCGTCAGCGATACAGAACGAGACTCACCTGCCCCGCGCCAGGGCCTGCATCCTGTCCTCTTGGTTCCCGCTCTCGAACCCCGAGAACGACCGCGACCTCGGCCTTGCCATCCCCGCCGCAGGCGTAAAGTTCGCCCTCTGAATGGGCTGACTCGCACCCGCGGCCGGCGGACCACCCTGCTGCAACGGCGGCGACATGGCACCTTGCATCCCCGGCGGGGGCACGGTAGTCACCCGCCCAGGAGGCGACATCACCCTGCTAGGTGGCGACATCACCCTGCTCGGCGGGGGCATTGTGTTCACCCGCGCAGGCGGCGACATCATCCTCCCGGGGGGCGACATCGCGTTCTGCCTCCCCGCAGGGTCCACACTTCGCCTCCCCGCCAACTCCCCAGGCGGAGGACCGCCGCCCATCCCCATCCCCGACGCCGGCGATCCCGTCCTGCTTGGGCCTTGGGCGCCCGTCCACGGCATCGGCGGTCGTGCCCTGTTCGCGGGGATGTTGTTCTGCGGCTCCAAGCTAAACGTGATAGGCACCGGCCCGATCGACGTCGAGAGATCGTACTCGAACCGCCCGTATATCGTCGGGGGCGCAGGCCGACCCTCCCGCCGCGCGACGAACGCGATCTGGAGGACCTGGAAGACCGACCCCACAGGCGGGCCTGTAGGGACAGGCGGTGCAGCGGGTTGGCGGCCGTACATCGGGCCCGCAGACGCGGTGGTCGGTTTGGGGGCGCCGGGGTGCGGGAGGAACAGGCTTTGCCGTCCTTGCGGGTCGGCGGGCGGGCGGTTCGGGTCGATAGGGCGCGCTGTAGGGTGTGTCGGCGGGCTCGTGGACGGTCCCGGTCGAGGTATGGCCATGGGCATCGGCATCGGCATAGGCGCGGGCGCGGGTGTGAGGGGTAGGACGGGCTGAGGCTGCGGCGGTGGAACTTGAGACGATGAGGCTTCGGGAGTCGCGCTGTACGGCGGAGGTGGGGGCCCATCGGGCACCGGGTCCGCGTTCGCGATGACCATCATCCGCTTCTCGTTGCGCGGGGAGCGCGGGGAGGAATTGGACGACCTCTGGACAGAGGGCGGGATGGCAGGCGTAGGGGGAGGAGTTGAGCGTGTCTCAGAGGACGGGCCGTGCACGATCTCGGCCGCTTGCGACGCCGCGGTATGGGGCATACTGGGGTCACGCTCGCTAACCGTAAGTTCCTGCCCCAACCGTCCCTTGCCTGCGGCCTCGCGATCGGATGGCAAGTCGTCGTCTTGCTCATCCCGCTCGCGCTCGAGCCGCTGTCTGAGATTGGTCGCGGCGCCCGTGTTCGTCGGGTAGACCGGAGACATGAGTGTCGGTGACGCGAAAGAGGCGGTCGTCGCGGTGGGCGCAGTGGGCGACGCCTGCGGTGAGCCGAATGTCGCATGTAGGAGCGGCGACGGTTCAGGCTCCTTCCGGAACGTGAGCGGTGCGGGTCTGTTCTTTTGTAGACGACTCATGGTCTCCTCCGAATCTCCTGCGCTCAATAGGTCCTCCGCGGGCGCCGATACAGACTCGCTGAGCTTCGAGTGCGCCGTCTCCTTCGAGCCCTTCCTGCCGTGCTCGCGCGAGTCTAGACTACCCCTCGAGAGCTCTGTGGGTATCGGCGGCACGACCTCAGACGTCGACGCGACCGTATACATCGAACCTTTCGAGAAGCGCGACATCTTCGACGCCATCGAATACCGCGAGTACCGGTAGTCGTCGTAGATATCGTCCGCGCCCTCCCAGTCCTCGCCGCCATAGTCGCTTCCCGAGTGCGCAGAGGGGAGGGAGTCCGAGTACTGCGAGCCTGAGCGTGCCGAGAACGGCGGTTGCGGGAGGCTGGTAACCGAATCGGAACGCCCAGAGAACAAGGGCTGCACAGGTGACTGCGAATAATGCGATCCTGACCGCGCCGAGAGCGGAGGTTGTGGTATGCTAGCAGGCGAGTCGGTGCGGACGGACAGCGGCGCCTGAACGGGTGACTGTGAGTAATGAGAACCTGAGCGTGCCGAGAGCGGAGGCTGCCCGATACTCGCAGGTGAATCGGAACGCGCGGCAGGCGGAGGTTGCGCATTGTCCGTCGGGGAATTCGAACGAAGAGAGAGTCGTGTCTGGACGGGCGACTCCGAGTAGTGCGAGTCTGAACGTGCAGAGGGCAGCGGCTGCGCGATGCTCTCCGGCGAGTCCGAGCGGACAGACAGTGGCGGGTGGACAGCACTCCGCGGGGACTGTGAGTAGTGCGATTCCGAGCGCGCCGTGCCCGGAGGGCCTTCGACCGTCGATTCGGGCGAAAGCGTCCTTCGCACGGAGCCGCCGTCCTCGTCGTCGCTATCATCACTGCCCCCCGCGAAGTTCTGCAGGAGCGAGAAACCGATACCTGCACCACCGTCAGACAGCGCGACAGAGATACGTGTACTTGGCTCCGAGTCGTCGTATATGCTGGAGTCGCGGTCTTGCGGAAAGCGTGAAGTGCTCTCGTCGAAGGACTCGAAACGCGGGTCGACGGGGCTGTCGGTCGCGAGCTGCTTCGCAAGGTCGCCGAGGTGTATTGGCGAGGGCGCGCGATCGCTATCGGGGGTGGGCGGCGCAATCGTCGGACTGCTGGGGTCATCGTTGGCCGGGGTGATAGGCGCAGAAGTGGAGATGGTGGTGGTGAACGAGGAGGCGTGGCTGAGCGAGCGCTCCGGATTAGGCGAGAGGGTCGGAGAGAGCGCGAAGATGGAACCCGAGGAAGGTGCGGTAGATATTCCCGGGGACGGGATGTCGCGCGCGGCGACGGTCAATGCGCTCGCGGAGGAGCCGGGGCGGGAGATGGGGGAGGACATGGCGGACTGCCGTTTTGTGAGGACGGGTTTCTTGAGGCGGCCATGAAAGCGGACAGCATCGGCCACGAAGTTGCCCACCACGCCCTCGCAGTAGCCCTGCATATATTCAGCGGCTTTTTCGGGCGCGAAGAGAGGGTAGCTTACGAGGTAGGTGTCCGCCTTGCTCGGGACTTGCATGAGCACTGTGATCTCGTCGTCCTGCGGGTGGGAGTGAGCACATTGCCCGGCGTTCACTTAACACAACAGTACGGAAGAATGACCGGCGAGTAAGAATGCGGTCGGTCGGGTGAACAAACTCGATGGCGGACAGCGCGCAGGGACATATCGTATCCGGGATACCTCACGAGCCTCCCTGTATGCTCTCCTACACAGTGTCGGTGGTTCCGAGAACATCACAGCACTCGTAGAGACCTTGCACACGCGCAACGGAAGCTCGTTGGACAAGTATATGCGCGGAAATGGCGGGCACTGGTTGGATATCCGGGGGAGCGGTATTTACGCGATCGCAATCATGTGGAGAGGGGAGCGTACCTTCATGAACATCAAATCCTCCGCCTGCTCGGCAATGCAGTCCTGCAGTGCCGTACATTTCCCAATCCCGCCTTTTGCAGCAAAGCGAGTCCACCTTCCGAGCTCGCTCGCGTCCATGTTTGGGTTGTAGCGGATGAGGGGGTATATCCGGGTGGTCGGTATGCCAAGCCAAGCTATTACAGCGAACGAAAGGAGCGTCGGTTGTTCAAAACACAAGCCAAGACGAGCGAGGGCAAGACGGAAAGCGAGACGGGACAGAGAGCGACAGCGGAGGAGATGAGAGAGGGTCGAAGAGAGCGACGGCGAGGCACAGACAAGGACAGGTACCAGCTAGTTGACAGCTTACTTGGAGCGCCTATCGTCGTTAGATTGACAGGCTTACAGTTCTAACGATCAATCTAAGCCCTGTTTCAATCGGATCTAACCTCTCCGAGCGCCCGTGCTCTCACTCCGCCGCCGCTCGTCCTTCGCTTTCCCCTCCATGTCCTCGGAGAAGGGAAGGGCTTCGCGCACATACAGCCCTAGCGCGGATAGAGCGGAGGACATCGTCTGCATCTGCTCTCCTCAGTGAGTGCTCCTTGAAGTTCGTCTGGCTTCCGCTCACCCGCCTTCGCGTCTCTGACCGGGATGCGAGGCGTGGACGTGCGAAGCATGAAATTCGCCGGACATACTCTTCTCTGACCAGATCTATCTCACAGCACGCCAATATATTCATGTCTTCCATGTGGGATTTTCGTTTAGCGTCAAGCCATCGAACCGAGTCCGAAAACTCGACGCTGTCCTTCGGACTACAATCTCAACATCAAAGGGCAGCGTAGTCTCCGGCGCGACGACGGCTTCAGCTTCTCTCGACGGTCTGTGCCAGAGGATTCACGATCTGGAGGTGAGAGCGCACGTCCGCCGCTGTCCCGCGATGCACTCACCGCAGGATGAAAGCATACATCTAGCAGGTATGTGGCCCATCTTGTGGCCCATTCCGACGCGACACCCAAAGGCGACGGATTCATGCGTACCAGGCCATTTCACCCCGCATGTCATTTCATTCGCGCCCCATTCCGGCGTTTTATATCCACGCACACACTTAGCCCTCCTCGCAACCATGCTTCCTCTCAATCTCTCCCGGTTTCCTCCAATGCGTGCCATTCGCGGGAGCTGCTCAGAATCTTCTCGCACACGTTCACATCCAACGCCATCGCTTTCGGAGCCTGCAACATCTTCCTAGATGTCTACTTCGTGCTCGAGACGACGCGCGCTGCCCAGCGAGAAGACGCGTAAACGGCTGCGGAGAAAAGCAAGCCTAGTGTCAACGGACAGGCGTACGAGCCTTTGCGAGAAACGGCGTAAGTTAACATGCGCTTTTGCCCGGGAAGGGCGCGCGTACGCCTGCGGTCCATCCATCCCGTAGGTTTCTACTGTCCTGCGATAAGCGTCGTCCTGACATGCGTCTTTCGCCAGGCATGCAACGTTCGAGATGTCGCTCTCGCACGGAGAGATTCCTCCGAGGACACCACTGTAGTCCTTTCTTTGTGTCCGTCCACGGTGGTGGTGCAGGCATGGTCTCTCCGTGCTTACCCCGCGATTCGTATTGCGCACATCGCGCGCATATACCCAGCCCCATCGTGCACGGGCGTCGTATGAGCTTTGTTTGCCTCGCGTTCGCACATTCAGCCCACGCGCCCTGTCAAACGGCGACTGCGCGCCTGAGCCGCGCGACGACAAGTCGAAGGTGAGAGCGCGCGTCTACTAAACCTAGTGGCGACCGTGACACGTACGCAGGACTCGCAAGAGCTCGACCTTCCTAGCCTACGGTCGACCTTGGCTTCCCGGGCCCGCAACGCACGCCCAAGACGCTACGTGCGGACGTGCGGGAGGTACGAACACAGGCTGGAAGCTGCGAGAGACGTCGCAGGGGTAATGTACAATCTAACTTGCACGCCACTCGAGCGCTGATCTTCGCGTCAGCGCACACCCTGGTTGCACTGAGATCGCGTAGTATAGTCGCTATATCCGCCTGCGAAGATCGGTAGGCATCCAGCTCTGTTCAAGGCTCTACGATGGTAAGTAATAACCCCTGCGCAAGATTTGCCCCGTTGACGCATCTCGCCGCACTTCAGCGAAACACCGCATTCACCACGTACGCGGACAACGTTATCACAGACGGCCTCACAGGTTGCTATGCGTGTTGTCCTGCCAGCTGAAAGTGTGCGCGTCGTCGACGAAGTGACCTCCGTGCCACTCACCTTTATCGAGAAGAGCTACGACCTCGGTGCATGTACCCAAGCGTTGTCCGCTCTTCCACGCATACAAGCACCGTATCCACCCATCAATGGCTTGCGTAGCGACGCGACTCGCGCACGGTAGCGCTCGGACCAGCCCCCATTGTACGCCGTATCGAGCGGCGGTGCCGCACATCCGCCTTTGTCTCTTAGCCACCACGCCACCCGCCCTCCCGCCTCTAACCGAGCCAGGGTGAAGAGCTACAAAAGCCTCATCGTCGAGCGTTCTGTAGCCCCCAAACGCTTCCTTTCTACCGCGAACAAGGACCAAGAGCACCTTTCACAGGTGTTGAGCGTGCGGCATTCATATTCGAAGCAACCACTGTCGCTCGGACGCAATGCCTGCTACGATGTCACCATCTCAAGTCTCCGCGCTCTCCGCGCACCCTAGTCCATACCCAAGGAACCCCGACCCCGTCGCTCGCCGCCGCCGCACGTCCGTCAGCGGCAAGCTCCTCAGTCTCTTCGCGTCGTCGAAACCCAAGGCGGACACTGCGCACCCAGCTCAGGCCCAGCGCCCGATCATCTCGCGCCCGCAACCACTCGAGCGGAACGCCTCCTCCACACGCGTACCCACACACGCCCACGCTCCATCCGCCCGGCGGAAACGCAACTACGCGGAAGCGTCCGGCGACGAGAACGACGACAGCGACGAGCGACCCACGCGCGACGACAGACACCACGACGGCCCCCGCGCGTCTTCTCGCCCACGACTGGACTCGGACGCGTCCACTCACACCGTGCGCCCCTCGCAGCCGGCGCCTCCGCTCAAGAGCGCATTGAAGAAACCCGCCGAGGCTGAAACGCGGACAAGCAAGGGCCTTTTGTCTGCGCGCTTTAGCCACACGCGTGCCAAAGCGGCGCTCAAGACAAGCAGTGGGCACAATCGCGGCGCCTCCGCGCCTCCCTCTTCTTTTACGCCTTTTCAGGACGGAGCGAGGGACAGGCCCCTTGCGCGAGCTATTGTATCCGGTGCTACTTCTTCTACACCATCCACCTGGACGGCTCGCGCCACTACGAGTGCACGCAACCGCGACGTCCCTAAACCCCCCACAGCGAAGAAGACAGTAACGTTCGCCAGGCAGGAGAAGATGACCCTCAAGCGAGCGCCCACGCTGCGCCACATCCCCGACACCGACCATTGGTCAGACCTCGCGATCGAGATCGAGGGCTTCGACGCCCCCACCGAGCTCCTGTTCTCCAGCCTAAACAACCCGCCGTCGCCCCCCTACTCGCGCCCCAGCAGCCCTCGGCCGAAGTCGCGCCCGAGCAGCCCTCGACGTAAGTCCGACCCGGTGTTCACGCTCGCCCCTGCGCCTCAGCGCACGCGCAAGTCTCTCCCAGTCCCACCCGTCGTCAGCACGAGCGCGGTCGACTCACGCGCCGTTGTCGCGGGCAGTCACAAAACGGAAACGCGCTCACGCTCGCAGTTCCGCGACGTGCTCGCGCGCCAGGCGCCCCCGACACCCGAAGCCACGCTCAAGCCGTTCCGCCTACCTGGCGCGACCGGCGTGAACAAGCATCGCGAAGGCTCCGGGACTGCGCGGGAGAAGGAGAACGGAATCGGCGCGAGCGGCATCCTCGAGGACGTCTTGAAGGAGATCGCGCGCGACTCGGCTGAGCGGGAGCAGGAGAGGAGCGCGCGCGACAAGACGCAGCTGGAGCAAGCGCGGAGTGCGTGCGACAGAGTTCAGCGTGAACAGGAGCGCGGAAGATCTACGAAGACGCGAGCGGTACTACCTACAGTCTCGGGCTCAAGGGCCGTACGCGATCGCTTCTCCGTCGACCTTGTTCCCAGCGCACGGCACACAACGCTCTGGGACGGTCAAGAGACGTATGTATTGTATACTGCTCAGCGCGCGTAACATGCTCATTGATATTTTCGATCTAAAAGGGATATCTACGCGTGGCAAGGCACGCTCGAGATCCACGACACGAAACCCCCATCGTACTTCTACCCCCGCCACCTCATCCACGACGTCACCATCCAATTCCACACCGCCGACGAGCCGCGCGAAGACCCCGTCACCTTCGACCCCACGCCGTTCACCTCCTCGTCCACGCCACCATTCTCCACACACGAATGGCAGACGAGCTACAGCGGGACGCGCCTCCCCTCCACCTTTTCGACATCTCCAATTTCCGGCACGCCGACGCTCGAAGCGTCGCGCGGCATCGCGCTCGAGTACGCGCCGCAGCTCCAGCCCAGCGACGACCCCGACGGGCCCTGCACGTGGACAGTGCGCTTCTGGGTGCCCGTCCCGCTGAGACTCTTCGCGCGCGCAGAGCACCGCACGTTCGTGTGCCGCGCGAAGGTGACGATGCGCGACTGGGAGACGCCGACGACGGTCGTGCCTGGAGGATGTGTCGTGGTCGGGATGGAGCGGCTGCGGACAAAGCAGCTGTTCGCGGACGGCGGCGCGCCGATGATGGCGTTTTGAAGGCCGCGGGGTTGCGCTAGTGTTTGCCAAGACTTGCATGTTTTGATGTGTTTGCTTAGGTAGGTCTCTTTTGATGTTGTACTCAGCTGTACTGTAGTACTTGTGCCTGTCGAGCTATCCGAGACGAAGTCGTCGAAGTGGCCCAGGTGTTTGTTGTATTACGAATCTCGCATGCATGTCTTGCCGAGCGGCCCACGCTCGTCCGTCCACTCCAAATACTCGCTCGCGCCCAGGCTCCTGGTGAGCGTATGCATGAACGCTACCACGTACATGCCTCAATCTGGGCCTAGGAAGCTTAAATCACTGCCATGCGCGGACCCCCCACGTCCAAACCTCGCGGCAAGAAGCGTGTAGGTATCGCACGAGATTCCGAGTCACCTGGATGCTCGTATGATAGAAGTCTTGGGAGACCGTCGAAGCCCGAAGGTTCGCAGGTCCATGGACGTATCACCAGACAGGACCAGAGCTTCATCTTGTACTTAGAACCTTCGGACGTAAACAGGATGCTCTGTGACTGCCAGGGCGGAAAGGAAATCGACAACTAGATAAAGGCCATGGCGACTCAGCGCCGTTCGATTGAATAGTACTAATTACTACACAAAGCTACGCTAGTAAAGTGATAACTTAGAGACAAAACGTATAAGTGAGCGGCGAAGAGAGTACAGTACACGGTACAACGAGTGAGCGAGTATAATAGTGGGCAGTACATATCTTCTAGCAAGGGCCCAGGGTCGTCTACTCGACCTTGCTGAGCTTCTCCTTCTGCTCCTGCTTGCGGCGCTCGATGTCCTTTCGCGACATGTGCGTGCCGAGGAGCGTGTCCCAGTGAATGAAGAACGGCTGCGCAAAGTTCGACTTGATGCCGATGGCCTGTCAAAAGCAGCGTCAGCGATCGCGCCCACAAGCACTGCTTCCCGGGGGCGAGCACGCACCTGGTGGTGGATGTCGTGGTAGTCCGCGTTGTTCGCGGTAAAGATCTGGAGCGGGTCCCAGGGGAGGTTGTACCCGCAGTGGACGTTGACCGCCTTCGCGGTCGCCACGACGAACAGCAGTGTCGCCTCGCGCATCGTGAGCTGCGCCGCGCGCTCCGCGACGAGCGCCCCGAGCGTGTCCATCAGGAAGCCCTCGACGGGGTGGTTGTAGAGCGTCCCGTACGCGTACGGCACGTACAGCCGGTGGTGCTGTGCGTGGAACGTCTTGTACAGGTACGTGTTCATGTGAAGTGCGCGGTGCAGGAAGTACTGCCACGAGTCGATCACGAAGCTGCAGAAGCACGAAGTGTCAGTCGGGATCGACAAAGAAGCAAGAGAAAAGCAGGTACGTACATGCCAATGAGAAGCTGTCCGAGCGGGATCGCCCACCAGTACAGCGTGTAGAGGCCGAACGCGCCGCGCGTCGCGAGCAGTTGCCCACCGAGCTCGGGGCCGAGAACCCAGTTCACGACAGACGCCATCGGGCCTGCGAGGCGGAGCATGGCCGCGACGTGGTCGACGGCGGCGCCCGCAGGAGCCTGCTCCATCCAGACGAGGCCCATACCGGTCTGGATGAGCTGCTGGAGGATGACCTCACGAAGGACCTGCCCGCGCGTGGCGAGGTTCTTCGACATCACCTCCGCGCTCTCGTGAATGCGATACTTTGCGGGCCATTTCCAGCCGGCGGTGTCGAGAACGTGGAACCAGGCGCTGAGGACCCAGTAGATAATGACGGGCGCCGCGAGCGCGAGGACGTGGTCCGGGATGCCGGAGATGACGGACTCGTGAGGGGTGTAGTAGATTGGCGAGTGGGTGGCAAGGAACTGGAGCTGGTGGTGGTCAAGGAAGGTGGGTGCTGCCGCGGTAGTGGTGTTCATGGTGGGCAAGCAGGGGTCGATGTGTTATCAACAGAAGCGTTCGCAGCTTTATGTGCGATTCCGACATACCATGCCCGACACGATCGGGAGCGGCCGACCATAGTGTCAAGATCTGGACCGCCTATGGCGCTGAACTAGGCGTGGGCGTTGCGGTACGGTCTGTGTTTGAGCGGGACACTTCACCGCCAGGAACTCCACGATGGGATCGCAGTGATGTTGAAACGCAACCTAAAGTAAGCATGGTGCATTTGCAGTGAGTACGGAGTGGTAACGAGTCGCAGCTCGGGCCCGGACTTACCTAGGCGACGCCACATTTGTCCGCAACTCAACACCGAGTTTGTGGAGGCGCTTTGCGAAGTTGCTGCGAAGGATTAGCAGTACGGCAGAAGGACCAGCTTAATCATAGCGCCGCTCTGTGATTAACGTTACGGTTGCCGATACGCGCGTCTACAGGTGTAACTACACGCACAGTACGCCGAGTTGTGAATCGCTGCATTCCTCGAGAGTAGAAGGAACATAGCTCACCATGAATATATTTCCAGGTATACGCGTCCGTTGTGTCTAACAAGGCCGGTCGGCTTCGGACTCTCAACCAATGACGACCGGCGTGTGCATCCGCGATAGACGCAGGGTGGCGTGTACCGATGATTGTCACAACATCGCATGCCGTCCCGGCAGCTTGGAGTACGCCTGTACAGGTATCCTACAGCGCGCGCTCGGCTTCTCGAGTTGCGACAGCTTTGAGTAGGGCTGATGATGCTTCAAGTGAGCGGTCCGCTGGAAAGACCGTTGTCACGACTAAACGTGTACTTACGCGGCATTCGGATCACTTGGCTGCGTATGAGCACGACCTTGAATGCTGAGAACTGGTCACTAGGGGGACTGTAATCAGCCACGATTTCAAACAAAAAGCATACTTCAGCTCACATTACGAGTTGCGTATGCCGTCTGCGCTGTAGGGTGGTCGTGGTCAGCCGAAGCGTCTCCACGGGCGCCTTGCGGCCGCAAGACGGCGTCTGCCGATACTGCGACTCGTCGGATCTGTGGTCGACATCTGCCACTCTCCTCCCACCGCGCTCAGCTCCAAGACGCACATTCTCAAGTATCATGGACCGCTTCTTTGCAAGGTACGCACCGCCACGCACTTCGGTATCATGTTTGACGTCTTCGGGCTTCTCCTGCGCTCTTACCAGTCGCTACTTCTACGTCGCCAAAGTCCGCCGCTACTCAAATAACATGGCGTCGAGATAAATAACATCAACTCGTGGCGTCAAAAGTAGTCGTTAGCATGGTAAGAAATCTCGCACGACGGTTGATACGGTGTTCAAAGGCACAGGCTGACGCTGACAAAGCCCGCCAGTGTCCGCTGCATACTTAGATCTGCGGACATTGCGACATACTGCAACCTTTGCGAGAGCTTCCGGTCCATCCGATGCTACGCAGCTCAACTAACCTTAAGGTTAGACAGGACGCTACTGCGAACAGCGGTAGTAGCGACCTCCCATGCCCTCCCGATATACTCCATCGTCCGAGCTTCGCCCAATCTTCGGCGGATCGTGATCCCAGCCCCACCCCGGAGCTCTAGATTGCAACGCATCTTCTCCCCTTCTCGCGCGGACCGGCATCGTCCAACGTCAATGCGTGAGTTCTATTTCCCAATCTCTTCTACCGCACGCCGCGCATCGCCGCCCATTTTGTGCGGTACTGACCGCTTGATTCGAATACATTGACAATAACACTGATACGTACTCTTCCAAACAGCCGAAAACGCACTTCCTCGAGCGATTAAGGACTAATAACTCAACACGCTCGCAGTCTCAAAACTACCCGGTCTCGGAGGACCCTGCATAGTCTGGGCTATGAGGCCCGCCGGTGGATTAGCCCGCGGCTGCGGGGGCGCGCGATCCCGGCGCGCAGATGTCAGTCCTATCTATGTACCTCTACACTACGCCACCGCACAGACAAAATCTCCGGTACTGACGGTACTCACTGAACAACGCAGCACGCCGCCATCCCCGGGTGCCGCTACGGGCTATACCGGCAGCTCTCCCGCTGATGGAGCCTAACATGGCCCTCGTTATGCCCACTGTGGATCACCACATATCACAATCAGTACGTCTCGCAGCAGACCCTGTCGAGGTGGTGCACTAATCCCCTTTCCCGCAGGCATTTGACCCCTTGGCTGTCCAGCGCGGAGGTGAAACGTACCGCGCGGGCGTGGGCAGGGTGGAACATGTACGTCGCCGCGATCCAGGACGCATACGGATTTGCTAACTCCCAGCCTCCAGCGCGCTCCACCGCCCGAGCGGCCGATGCATATATCGTGTGCATCCTCGTCTACGATACAGAGTAGGCTTTGCATCGCATCGCGCGCAGGGCGCAGGGTACTTGGAGGCGTGGCCACTCGGCAAGTCAAATGTCGCAGTGAGTATACATTGTCCTTGTGCAAAGATGTCTGTGCTCATCGCGACGCTACGATCAGCTCGCGAGCCGAGTACATATTATGGCGGGATACGGCGTCCGTGAACGCATGCCAGTGCCATTGCATGGTGTTGTAATACTAGGCCCGGTGCGCAACACCAAAGAAATACCGTAGCTAGCTCCCGTATTCAACGAATCTACCAGTGGTACTAGCATCCCATACACTCGACGCGCCCTTGATTCTCCCGCCGGTTTTCAGATATATGCCACTTGGATGTTCCGCGCGTCTTCTTCTCAATTTTGGGGTAAGTCGGCAGTGGGCAACCTAGAGGCGTGGTGGCTCGTGAGCTCGGAGCCAAACGTGAACACTGATTGCGCTCTTGCAGCGATGTGTGTATCCCTTCCAAGACTACGATCAGCTCACGGATTACGTCTAACTCACGGCGGGACACTGCGCGAGCACTCCTTAGACCTCTTCTACGCCAGGCGGGCCATGTGAATGTTCTCTGTCGTTGCTGTCCAGAAGGCGTCGAGTGCTTCGAAGCCCGTTCCAGGTACCTGCCGACGGCTGCGTCAAGCAAAGGGCCTCGAAATTTGTGCCCAGGACCATCGTCGGACCGCCCAAGTAGCCTGGAACTGCGAAACGGGGGCAAAATCAGAGCTAGGCAGGGAGTCCGAGGACGATGAACATCCTCGTTCTAGACGGTCCCTCTCCAGCCCCGCTGGCCTATGGCCTTCCCACCACATAGTAAGCGTGTGAGTGACGGCTATTGTGATTGTCGTCGAACGCGACTGAGAGTCTCCGCAGGGTTGATGGACATCGCGCGCTCTCGCTTACCCGCACGGGAGGCCAGCTCTCTGCGCACATCGCAAAACTTTGCGCTGGACATCGACTGGCGTATGTATTTACGTCGAATAGCGGGTCCAAAACATCTGTTGTGCGGGGCATTTCCACCACAACATAACGTGCGCTTCACTCTCCGACGCTACCCGCGCGTGAACAGACGCTTTGGGAGACGCTTTGGGGACGACATCATCTCGAACTCGAAGGTTACACATTCACTAGCGATTTTCTGCCATGCCGTTGACCGCTATTCCGACTCTTTTCGCGCCGCCTCCTCATGCGCCTCAAACCGCGCTCGCCTCCTCTGCGCCACGAAGGACCCTTGTCACCGGGTACGACTATACTCATGCGAGGTAGTCTTCAAGCCGCCCCGTCTTCTCTTACAAGTAGCCGATGCCCACCACGAGTCCGCCGACCGCATCACTCAAGGCCAACGTGTACGCAGCTCCCTCTATTTGTTTACCTGCAAGAAGTGCTCTTGCATCCCTCAGTCTTCGCGATGTTGTTCGCCCTCGTGTGTCACGGCCCCCCGACCCCATCCACTGCCTCCAATGTAGTCGGGATACTCGTTCGTACGCTATAATACGGTGATAATACAGAATTGCACAACGATACCAAGCTCTACGCGCAACAGTATGACGGCGCGGCTGGCGCATTCCCGTCCGTCGTTCGACTCGGATCTGCTCAGGGTACACACAATCCGAGCACCGACTAAGACGTCCAGCTACCGTTCACCCACTCACACGAACTGAGCGTCGTACCTGCACCAGAACAGAGTGTCAGCGAGATGCGAAGCGGAGAGCCCCTCCTCGACTACGCACCGTATTCGCCAGCGTGTACAGAAACGTCTTCCACGCGCTGATCACGACGTGCACCGACCGCTCGTACAGGCGCCGACGCCCTGGGCGATCGGCGCCCAGGTTATTTACGTCCCCGATGTCTCCTGAGCATACCGGCGCCGCTCCAGCGACGATAGCTTTCGGAGCGCACGCGAACAGCCTACTAACAATTGCGCTGACGACGCCCAAATCGAATCCCCGCCTGCGTTGTGTTAGCGACACAGCGCACGCGCCACCACGGCGTATTACAGACCTTGCCTTGGCGGAGAACGGGTGCGCAGGCACACGACATACAAACGACGGCGACAAACGGGCATCGGAGCTGGAGCGGCTACTACGCTCGCATCCCGAGCGACGCGTCAGCTGCGAGCCAAATTGCCGTTCGTTCGCGTTGGACAATACTACTGCGCGTCCCCACATGTAGCGGAAGCGCTCGCGCGGCCGGCGCGGGAGGACGAATGTCGAATGTGTTCGCTGCGGAACGAGGGGGAAGACGACGTGTATGCGCGCGGAATGACAGCGGCCGCGCTGCAGGACGGGGTTGTGGCTTGGCCGACGACCTGAGTGAGAGGGGCATCGAAACCCCGGGCGCGATGTATCCCCACGGTGTCCATCGACGATGCGTCGAGTATGGCAGATGCGGGCGTGTGAACATAACGGCTGGGGTGGGGTCGAGGGCACGATCGCGCGGAATGTCTTGTATGGCCCTGGCGGAACTATCTTTCGTGGTCCGTCAATATCGCATCTGTCCGAGTCACTATAACTAACAGACCGTGCGTTCACCCGCCATTCAAATTAATGTTAGAACCGGAAGTCAACGTGCAGGGTCCAGGACAGCGGGCATTTTTTGGACTAACAAGAGTGAGAACGTGAAGTCGTGGGTCGAGAATTGGTGTCGACGTTCCAAGAGTCTCGCCCGGTCGCGTGCGTTGTTTTGGGCATGCCAGCAGCGAGGTTCAACGTATCTGACCGTGATGATCCTCAGTAGTGCGCGAGGGGAGGTATATGTATGCGCACCTTTCGTGTCCGGATGAGCATATACGCATCGGAGCGCTGACTTACAGTGCGCGGACGAGTACGCGTGACAACCACTCAGCGCTCAGTACCGCGCCCGAAGCACTGTTCTCCGGATTGTGTTTGTTGGCACAGCATATAAACAGAGCCTTCACCAATATTGGGCTAATAAGCCTGCGGAGCACAAGAGGTGCCAGACGGGAGAGGCAGCGAGTGCTTCAAGCTCGGGGGCATCGCAAGCTAGACCACAGGAGGGAGGAGAAAATCAAGGCCAGCCACGGTGGACGTACGTCATAGCAATTGCTGGAGTGGCTCAGATATATGATGCAGCATTGTGAAGCACGGTCGACATACCTTCGCTTCCCAGGAACCGTTACAGTCCCCGCAGTCTTGCGAACATCGTAGCGCGAACCGTAGCGCAAGTCGTTAGAGAAGAGTTGTAGGCTCAATAGGGGGGAGACGCAGAACGTTAAAACGGCTGAGCGTGAGATACAGATAGCCAGAGAGCCAGTGAGTAGAGGTCGTAGTCGTGGTCTTCGAAGTCGTTGCATCCTTCGGCGCTTCGGCGTGCGCTCGGTGGGTCGGCATCTGCCGGCCGAAGCATCACCGTTTCTGACCGAACCGCTCCTCCTAGGTTCCTACCACCGCGTCCTCACCTCGTCCTGTTTCCCTTGGATCATCTCTCGCGTTCCGAACATCTACATAGGCGGGATCTCCCGCTCTCGCGGTCGTCTGAGTCTACCAAACGGGCTCCGAGGCCTTGTGATCGGTGTGCCAAAACGGATCATCTGCTCATTTCTTTCACGTATCCCTCCTAGAATCTCTCTCTGCATTCCGAGTAAGTCGGCAACTGTTTCGTTGCAGGCTTTTGCAGAACTGATGTTGCAACTCGCACGGTCATCATTCGGCTGCTCATGTCGGACCAACCACCCGCCGTGGAAACGCTTCGACGCACCACCCCACGCGTACCACGCGAACGATGCATATCCGGTTCTGCCTCAATCAATGGGTAATAGAGGACGAATGCTACAAGATATTCAAGCGACAGAATGACACGTCTGCTCTCCTCGAAAACGCTCGGACCGAGGCTTCCGTCGTCCTCCTCCCCCGGCTTCGGCAGTTCGCGTACGCGAAAGACGCGACCGTACTCGACAGGCTCCTCATGCGCAAGAAATCTCACTCTCGGCTCGCGGGAATAGTGTGTCCGTCTGAGAGTTATACAATGCTACAACATATCTCATCATCTAGGACGACGCCCTCATCATGTTGGACCTCTAGCCCGGCGATACGCATGGAATTTGGCGGCGTCAGTCCTCATCTGGGGTACGTGATGTTGTCTTCCTCTGCGAGTGCGTTAGCGAATTAACACGTTGCGGCAGTTAAGACGAGCGGCCCATCCTTTGGCTCTCGTATACGGGCTATACATCCGGTGCCATAGGCTGCGAACATCGACCGCACACTCGCTGCCCCCGGGCGGGCGCACGCGGTCTGCGATCTGCCAGAGTCGGGACGCGCGTGATATGCCGGGCGAAACACGTAAGTGAGCCCCTCGCGTTCTTCTACCTCCTCACGAGCGTACTTCACCTTCCTCGCTTCTCCTGCCATTTCCATACGTAGCGCAGTGCACCCTGTTTGCTCGTTTTATCTTTCGTATTCTTTTCACAGCCTCATTGATCGTCTTGCAGATACGGACGCCTACACTTGGATCCCACAATAACACTGTCGTCCCATCGTCCTACATGGAGTCCTCCCACCTGCCCATACAGATCTGCGAGGCTATCATGGAGGACCTCGTCGAGTTCACGCACGAGATACTCTACCTGGCAACCGTCGCCGTCTGGCAAGACACGCTGTGCGCGTGTGCTCTAACCTGCCGCGCATGGCGCGCCCCCGCCCAGCGCCTCCTCTGGGCCTTCCCCCACATCCTCGACGGCGCGCGCCTCGCCCACTTCACCGCAGCCCTCCGTACCACCGCCCCATCCCACTCGCTCACCACACTCCTGCTCGCCGACAACACCTTCTACCAAAAGGCCTACTGCCACGACACCGCCGGCGCGCTCTTCGCCCTGCCATTCCCGCATCTCCAGGAACTGCACTACCACGACGTCCGCTTCGAGCGCGGGCCCCTCCTCCCGTTCCTCCGTGCGCGGCTGCCGTTCTTCGCCAGGGTCACCGTCCTCGACCTGCGGCGCGGCATCTACCACTCGCTGCGCGTGCTGCTGGACACGGTGTGGGGCTGCCCGAACCTCTCCACGCTGCGCATCACCGAAAGCGAGTTCTACCCGGGCCGTTCTTCGGCCAAGCGGAACGCGCAGCTGTCTGCCGCCTGCGAGCACGCGCGCGGATGCCAGAAGCTCACAAGCCTCACGCTGGACGAGTGCACGCTGCAGGCACGTCCTGCACCGCTGCTACCGCGCATGGCCGGGATCGCTGACGACCGAGCATCGCACACGTAGGGGGCCCGCGCGCTCGCCCCGCCAGGCCTCTGCGGGAGTGTGTTCGGCACTGCTGTCACGGAGCTGCAGTATATGGAGGCTTATTGCGATGGAGGTAAGCGCCCCAGCGCGGTTCACACCCATCGCTCACCCATCCATTCGGCCTATACAGCGACACTGCTCAGCACATTTCTCAAGGACGCCTTCCCCGCCCTCCGCTCCATCCACGTCTGGGCCTGCAAGTTACCAATCCTATCCTGGCTCCACGCCCTCTCCGCGGGCCGACCCGCACCCGGCGCCCTAAAGACGATCGTCCTCGACCGCGAGCACGGTTTAGACTGGGAGAACGAAGACAGCCATCGATGCTGGGGCGAGAATATGGGCTCGAGCGAGGAGATGGCGCGCTACGCGCGTCCGCTGCCCTCCGACTTTGTGTCCGGGCTGGACGAGCTTACGGTCCGCCTCTACGACTGTCCGGACCCGGGGACGTGCGCCGCGCACATAGCCGGTGATATCTTGCCTCAGATGCATGACGTCCTGCGATTCGAGCATACGCTGTGCTATGGGGAATGGGCAGAGTACACCTTGCCGCCTAAGTGGTAATTCCGCTTCTGGCTGTTTCAGAATGTGTATGTATACCGGTTGACTCGACGATCTGATTTGTATTCCCTCTTGTACCGTCGTACCATGTTAGTGCTACGACGCCAGCTTGACAGCGAACTTGGTCCGGACTCACGGCCGAACAGTCAGCCATCCTCCCGTATAGTACATATCCTCTGGGGTAGTACCGCGCTGTCCTTGCGTATCTTACTGCCTACGCCCCCATATGAAACATCTTGATCCTTCCTTGAGAGCTGCATTCGACACAGACTATGATGAGGACATCTGACTAGTGCGCCTCGCGTCGTTCGTGCCTTTGACGCACAGCAGTGCGTACTGGATATGTCGTTTATATCTTATAGGTACGCGCGGGAGATATATGTAATATGTACGAGCGTCCGAGTCCGGGAAAGCCTACTCCGTAACGGGGAGCATGTACGGTGTCCAGTCGTCGTCCCAATTTAAGCGGTACTCAAACCGTAGGACGTTACGCATCCCGGGAAGGACAGACCAGACATACGCCGCATGCGTTTCCGGGTCCTTGCACGTGTCGAGACGAACGGTGAGCTCCACCAGCCCAGCCAAGAGCGCCGGAAGGCGCTGCTCGGACTCGGGCACCTCCTCGCTCGCGCCCACGATCTCCTCGCAGCAGTCGCTATTCCGCCATTCGTGGTCGCGCTCGAGGACGATCGTCCTCAGAATGCCGGGTATTGGCCGGCCTCTGGCTATGGCGTGGAGCACAGACAGCACCCGGCTGCTGCTCTTCCCGAACACCGGGTCGACACGGGAGACGACCGTGACCAAGCACAGAGCGGGGAACGAGTCCCATAACACGATACCGAGCACCTCCGGGTCTGGGACGAGCAGAAAGTGAGACGCGCGACGCAGCGTGACTGCAATCCACGTACCCGAGATATTATCAGTATCGAAGTGCAGCGCCGTTACAGCACACCCGAACACGCTGCCTCCACCACAGAGTCCGGCACAAGCGCGATCCCAGACTCCCTGTGCAAACGGCAGATCGTGAGCGGTCTCAAGATGAACGGTAGGCAGTCCGAACGTACCTGTACGGTGAACGCGTCCAGATAGAGGCTCGTAAGCTTCCGGCACGCCCGCAAATTCTCTACCGTGGCGGACAGCAGCCGGAGCCCTCCGGCCGATATGCGCTTCGACTTGATCCCAGTGCGCGATATGGCGAGTGTAATGAGACTCGGGCAGGCCCACACCACGTCCAGCAGCGCCCTCAAGGACTGGAAGGCACAGTCCAACAGTTGCAGAACGGTTATGCTGGCGAAGAACGGCAGGCGCATGCGGAGTATTGCGAGAGGGGGCCCGCGGTGAAAGAGGAAGCCGTAGAACAGCAAGTGCCGCAGGTGCTGGAAGGAGTGCATGAAGAGCGAGCTCACCATGCTAGGGTCGAACGTTTTGATGGCGTAGGCACGCTGGTCCCCTAGCACAAGCCCAGCAGTGCTAGTGTTTGAAAGGTTCCGAACAGCCGAGGTGAATTGCGCGAGGTGGTGGCTATCGAGGACATGAGGGAGTGTCCAGAGGAGATGCTGTGCCCGGACATGCCATGCGCGACAGGTGAGACTGCACGCGCACAGGGCTTGTTGCGACTCCCAGGTTCTCTTGGACTCCAGCAACACACCCGGGCGCCCTAGAGGCTCGTAGTAGTCCTGGAGAGCGTCCATTACAGCTTCACAGAGCTCGATGGGTAACCAGCAGCACTCCATAAGGGACGAGACGACTATCGGGATTGCTGTGGTAAGCCTCGTACCTGTAGGATATTTGATGAGCTTGCGGAGGATATTATACAAAAATAGACGCACCCGACGCCTGCAGACTCGTGTGCAGAGGATAGTTTGGAGTATATGGGTGTACGAGGCAGGAGGGCGAAGTATCAGCAGCAGTTCGAGTGCGGGACGTGGAGGCGAAGAAGAGAAAACCGAGGACGGGGACGCTTCCAATCCTCTTCCCAAAGAAGCTCTCCTGCTCGGCCCGACCTCGTACCGCCGCAAAGCTACTGCAAATAGTACCTGATGACAGCATTAACACGCTCACTGCAATGCACCCCCGCTTCTCTTGTGATAGGGTTCGAGCTCTGCACGTCTCCGGGATGGTTCCTAGACATCGTCTCGTGCGCGGGCAGGTCATGCTCTCCAGTCCCACCGTAGTGCTGAGGTTTTTATCGCCTCCGTCCAAGAGATCCGCTTCACCTGTCAGACAGAGTAACTCGCAGCGAGCTGATGCTGGGACCTACGCTTCTCACCGCTACCACTCCAGAGTTGAGCACCGAGTTCCCGCACGCCGGAGCGATCGTGCGCTCGCACGGTACCCGCCCGTCGCGACGCACATGCGCTCTGCATGCCGCCGCTCGTGGAGTGTGCCGGCGCGATGAGGCGGGAGTAGCTTTACTATCTGTGTGCGATGCAATATGACGTTAGTCTCGAGATAGACTTCACGAGGGCGCCGCCGTCCTGACCGTGCACGTACCTCCATCACTCTCGCGGTATCTAGATGCGTCTACCACATGGCGGGCTCGTCCGTGTCGTGCACGGGCTGGACACCCTCGAAGAACGACGTGAGAAACAACGCAGCAGTGCAGCACCCCCGCACATGCGCCGTCCGTCTATCTATACCGAGTGTGACAACATAGAATGAGGAAACACAAGTATGAAGGGGACGGAGGTGCAGTCGTGCGCATGCGGACCTGCGGCTTGCAGCTGTCCCCAGAGCGAGTCCGAGTGCTGCCAGACGAGGGGTCAGAGTTATACTTCGAGCGGCTGATAACGCAGACACGTACGCTCGGCGCCGACGTATCGAGCATACTGTACCTGCCCGACCAATCCGGCGGGTCACAGGTCACAAGGACCCCCGCCGCCCCGCATTTAGGCAGTTGTCCGGGGTCACAACGGGTCCCGCCGCTCCAGGCCGTATCTCGCGGCCGGTCACACTCAAAAATCGCTGCCCCGGCCGCCCTGCGGGGCCGTCGCACCGCTTTGTGGCACGGATGGTCACAGTCGCGGCCGGTTCGCGCCGCTTTTTGCGTTCGCGCCGGTTCGGGACCGGCGGTCACACCCCAAACCCCCCGCCGGATTGGTCGGGCAGGTACAGTACCCTCCGCCTTGCGGGCCCCGCGTCGTACGCCTGCAGGCGGCCGCAGCCGCTGGTGTCGTACGGGGCAACCAGCTTCTACAAACCCAGCGCATGCGTGCACGCCCTGACTCGCCTCGCTCTTCGTCAGCGCGTATGCTGCACTCCGCAGGGGCACCGGAGGCACACGCCGGGAGGCCTCCTCGGCTTGAACGTGAGCTCTGGAAAACCCGTAGTAAGCTACATCCGTGCACCGATGATGAAAATATGGGCAGGAGCGACAGCCGAGACGCACTCACCGGACAGAACTCGCCGGCCCTCAGCGTCGGTGCCGTCGCTCTCGACGGATTTGCCACTCACTGCACACGAGACGTCGGTCCATCGCACGCGCCTAACACGTCTCCAGGCGTCTTCGCCGAGCGGGGGCAGCACGGCCAGGTAAACGCTGACAGCAGACGTGCGCGCATGACAGGCGGACAACGGATCGCATGCGTACGCGATATGACGCTGCGCGGGTGCCAGCGCGGGCGTGCATACGGCAGCAGCATCGCACGCGACGGAAATGCCCCACGCAACGGTGCGTTCGTTACGAAACGAAGGTGTCAACGGCACTACCAGACTTTACGGGTTACGGACGAAGGCTCGACGGAGTGTCCTCCCGGGTCAACCTGGACGCACTCGCCAACGAAGTGACAACCTCCGTGCGAGCCTGCCCACCGTCGTCAGCTCAGAGCTCGGGCGCGGGGAAGCGCATGGTGCGCGGCGTTCCATGACACACACCTGCACGAACACGACGAGGCACACGCCCCCAGAAAGACCGGATTATACCAAATCGACCGCATCCTGGGACTTTAACCCGCCGTCCCGACGTGAATCATACCGCTCAGCGTAGCCCACCGTACGTCGGGAGAGAGCAGGGAATGCGTGCTTTTTACTTCCGCTGGGGAACACGCAGGGCACGCGCCGATATGCGCGTTGCACGTATCTGCAGGAGCATGCGGACTTACGGAAACCAAGCGCTCGACACTACATCTCGGACCTCCTTTCGCAGATACCATGGTTCGAGGCAACAAAAATCTATGGCACTCACCCTATGCGCTATGGGCCTCTTCCGGAAAGAGGGGGTAGGAGAGGTCGAGTCTTCAAGGAACAATCTGACAGATGGGCCCAATGGAGGGCCTCGTATTGAGGCTCAGTTTGTAGGCCGTGAGATGGGTAGAGACAGCTGAAGCGAGTTGGATGGGTGTTTCGCGGGCGGTAGTGCGACGATCATAAGAATATGCTCACAATATGCGGCCGCGGCGTCTCCTCTTCTTGGACGCCATAGAACGGAGGCGTCATGCCGAGACTAGGAAGGTAGACGGAGTGGAAGCTTCAGAGTCCGGAGGGTATACCTGATCAGCCATCGACGGAGTTATTTTGCGAACGTGCACGGACCTCCATCGACCCCGCGATGTTCAGGTGCGTGCACAGAGTGGCAGGCTCAGCACCCGCGACGCGCGACTCCAGGGACAACGCAGCAGTGCAGCGCCTCGCGCGCAAGCCGTCCGCTTACGTATCCCGCGCATGAGAAAGCAGCACGCGGGGAACCAAAGACGACGGGAACGTACGGTCGCTAGATCTGAGCCCGTAGTGTTTCCTGCAGGTCGTTTTCGCCGAGCAGCATTCGGGGGATGCGAGCGTGTCCATGCGGACCTGCCGCTCATCCCAGAGCAAATTCCGGTTCTGCGAGACGGGTGGTTGGGGATCCAGTTCGGGCAGCTGGTAGTGGAGGCGCGTACCGTGATTGCGGTGAAGTCCATGGACCTATGCGTCTCCTTCAGCGTATCGTTCCTGTAGGTCCATGGCGTGTGGCTTACCCGGTGGGCGTCGCGAGGTCGAAGAGCGCAATCTGCTTCAACGCGGTCGATCTATAGTAAACCGCATCTGCATGGAGTCAATAATCAGGATATTGGTAGGAGCGGCGAGCGGAATAAATGTACTGCATAGAACAGACCGACCCTCTGCGTCAGACGGTTGTGGGCAGGCGGCACACGGGGCTACGTGTGCGCTGGGTGGGCACGCAGATAGCTGAAGGAGTGGGCAAAGGGCTTGGACCTGCCGCATGCGCAGACGGGGGTCGGATCGGAACGCGGGCTTCGTTTTTCGGGTGAGGTGGTGGGCAGCGAGATGAGAATAGATAGCTGCAGGAACTTGTAGACAAGGAACTTGTAAACTGAGAGCGATCCTTCAATTCCGAGCGATACCTGTGCCGACGAGCGAGTGGTGTGGCATTCGGAGCGGTGGTGAACTTGAAGACGCAGAAGGAGGATAAGAGCCACGAGGGGTGGAGAGATGTTAATGATCGCTCACATCTCGAGGAAGGCTTCCGCGAGCGGTGCGACTGGTAAAAGAAGACAGACCAGAAATGCGTGGGTTCTCAGACGCGTCTACCAATACGCCCCTACCCAGCTACACGCCCTCTCCAAGACCGTAGACGTTTATTGTGCGTGAATTTTTCGCCTAGAGACGCGAGTTTCGTGGCCGTCTCCTCCTTCGGAGCGTCACTGAACAGATGATTTGTGCTGAGGCTACTACCACGCTTGAACCGGAGAGCAGAGGCTAGTACGAATCCCGGGAATTGGTAACGTCCACTCGCGTGTCAGTGATGGCAGGGGTTGACTGAGAGAGAGGAGAACTACGACGACGACGTTTGCAAGAGACGAGGACGAGCGAGCAGAGGCGAGCAGGCAAACGCCACAGCCGCGCAACCACGACGCAATGACGTCACGCGTCAGACGTCCTGCCCGCTGATTGGCTCCTAGCAGACGCCTGCCTGCTCGCAGCCTCGCACGCAGCCGTCTCCACTCTCTCTGCATCGACACCGTGCATTCACCAAGTGCAACGCATGAAAAGTTTTTAAGGTTATGCAGACGGCGAGCGGGTGGAAGCGAGCTAAGAACGCAGATCAGTCAGATCTGCGTAACTATGTAAGTGAGTCTGTTCCGGAACATAAAGAAAGAGAATAACGAGCTCACCTCACACAGTCGGGAATGAACGTGTGAGGTGAGCGAGGGTGGTCGCCAGCGAGACGACCCAGAAAATTGCGTTAACATGTGTAAACAAAGAGCGTGTAGACCCCCGCGCCGTCGCGCTCCAGGCGCGACCTTGCGCGAGTGGAGGAACGAAACAGAGGAGCGAAAACATACGACACGCGGTAGGCGCTGACTGTAAAGAGGAAGTCGGATACTATAAACGGAAGTCGCGCCTCTGCGCGACATAACCAAGCGCCCCAGCTCCCGCTGCGAGCGCTTTTGCCCTCACGGCGCGACGTCCAGCCCACGCTGAGACGATCGCACCTCGCGGTGCGTCTGGCCTTGCCGCGACGCCCCGCAATCCTCAACAAAAGTACTTCCAATAGCGTCTCTACAGGTACATACTCTCTATCACTCATCTGATCTACGCGTCTACCCTCACCCGATGTCGAACGTACGTCCTCCTTCGTCCGCGCTCCCCTCTCGTCGTCGATGTTATAGGCTCATCAAAACGCTACCTTCTGGGCACTTTATTGGCATGACATTCAATTGGATGGTGTTACCGGGGGAACCGGAGACCAAGCCATCGCAGGCTCTCTGCACACAAACGACCGGTTGTACGTTCTCCATACATGCACCATTATCACAACACCGCACTCACCGCTGCCTCCCCCTCGCCGTCGACAGTCTGATACAAATCCGGATGGACTAATTCGGGTTATGAACGCTCTCGAGTGCCATCGACTGCATCGTTTTCCCTTCGCACGCATGACGGGACTCTCAATCCAGCCCAAAACGCTGCTATTACTTACCCGGCCGCTCTACTTGCCGCCTGCCTCTGCATCTCGCCTGCTGCTCACAGGTTTCTCTCAGCACACACCTAGGCTACCCACCCGCTGAAACGGAAGACCAAGACGCAGGCTCTGCGCATCGACGGTACGTGCTTTGGGCGGCGTCATGGGCGCCGAATGGCCACGTAGATGCGACACGGACGGTGCGGAGACCTCCAGTCCGATGACTGAGGACTTAATGAGCCATCACAGTCTCTTCGCGCACTCACCACTGGCGGTACGTCCAATTCCGCGCCATCGTTACATTAGCGTACTAGCATACGACGCTAGTAGAACCCTATACCCGTACAGAACGACTTTGCTTATGCTTTCGCTACGATGCGCTCTCAACCACCGCCGACTACACCGTCTTCCCTTCACACGAACGGCGACTGATCTGCAATCTGTATCCATCCGGGAACATATGACGGTCAATCTGCACATTAAATATTTTAAGCACTCTCCGTAATTTTTCAGCGCGCTCTTTGAACGGGCACAGCGCGCTCTCTTTGTACGGACTCAGCCTCTGGGGATTTCGCTGCTTAGTCAGAAAAACTGACATAAACTACCATAAATGGTAATGAAAACGCAGTGAAAATTAAACGACCATGACCGGGATTGAACCCAGGAGCCACGAAAAGGGGCAAATGCATTAAACCACTACGCCAACAGGCCTTAGAAGTAAATATTGTGTTC